GAAACTGAATTCCAGTACAGCCAGTTGTACATAGATTAGAATAGTTTACAATACAAGAAAGTTAACCTCTACAGAGATCTGAAATATGGCATCAACAGATAATCATTCCCGTTATAAAGACCGCTTACAAATGATTACACTTTAAGTTATGCTACCAAAAAGCGCTTGCCCTCCCACTCTAAGTTCAACTACTTTCACTTCGGAGAATTAAACAAAATTTCTTGGTAATTTTCAACAGATGTTTGGCGGGAGGGGTGGTACTTGCAGTTATGACAAACTTTTCTCAGACAGAAAAATATATATATATATATATATATATATGTATGTATATATATTTTTCTTGACTTTACTTCTAAATGTAAGTTACGGAATCATAAGAATACATATTATGATATCAGATTCGGATAAACAATAAAATATTTAAATAAATTTTAACGTATATTGACTCTTAGATAAAGCATAAGACCTTTGATGTCTGCAGATTAAAATGTAATTAGAAACAGCTTTCGTCACACATGCTTAGATACGTACAGCATTTTGATTATAGTGTATATTCCTTTGGCTTTTGCGAAGCGCGTTTCAAATGTTGGCAAATATTCTCTCAGTTTTATTTATCTATTTTCATTGCGACATACCAATAGATGTGGTGGGTGAGGGGCGAGCGGGGAGGGTATGGGCGAGACGGATGAAAAATACTTGAATTAATATAAAAATAAAGCTGAAGAGCTTGCCACAAAATAACTAAGGTAAAAATATACACAGACAAAGACAATTGTGTGCAAAAATAAATGATGAGAGACAGAGACAACTGAGAAATTACAGATGAAAATTGAAAAGCCAAAAGCGAATACCGATGCGAACACAAATTAAATACATAATTAAAAAAACTTTCGTTTTCTCATAAAAAAAAAACAAGAAGTCGAAATGTGAATGTCACGCTTTAAGGATTGAAATGCTAAATAGTTTAACTAATAAAAAAAACACTAAGCTCATGTGCTCAGTCATACACGCTACAAACTGCTCAGTCAATCAGCCAATCAGTCCATCAGTCAATCAGTCAATCAGTCATTCAGCCAGCCCGTCTATCAGCCAGTCCAAGTCAGTCAGTCAGTCAGTCAATCATTCAATCAGCTCAGCACCCCGCTCCCCAATCTCTACCCCTACCACATATACCCAAGCTCATTTGGTATCCTTTCTATAAGAATTTATCGATTTCTCATACATTTTGATTGCGTCCGCCTTTGTCTTCTCGTGTGTTTGGCCATGTGCATGTGTTTCTTCTTTCTTTGTTTTTGTTCATTTCTCTTTAACAAATTGTGTACAGTGATCATGTTTTGCTTTTATTCTGTTTAGATTTATGCGCACATTTTTATGCATCAAGTATTGAGTTGATTTGATTCTTGATTTGAGATTGGATTTTCCTTTTCTGTTCAATTCAATTCAATGTCGCTGACATTCAATGCAGCGATCGATGAGAACCAAAAGATACAAAGTCGAAATCGAATATGTTCTATCATACAAACCTTTTTGCAGATTTTTGATTTTGTATCCCCATCATCACCACCACCACCACAACAACAACAACAAGAACAATAAGAACAAGAACAAGCACCACCACCAACAACTACAACAACAACAGCTAGAAAAAGAACAAGCACATCAACTGCGTCAAGTGCGACGATGGCTGCCATAAATACGGTAAGTACGCGCAAAGCAACGCCAACAACAACAAGAAGCAACAACAACAACAGCAATAATAATCCCGTTTGTGTGCAATCATTCATAAGGCACAATAAATTAAGCACATACACATACAGTTACACATAGCTGACTGTGTGTGTGTAGTCGTGCGTATTTATGTCTACGGCTGGCGAATTGCAACACAAATAACATTTATTTATATAATCGACTTGGTCAACATTGCGTATGCGTAATATCAAGCATACGCCAAGACAACACACACTACACACACACGCATACATGCACACACATGCTCACATGCGTACGCACTGCATAAATAATCATCAAGAGGCAATAAAATATTTAAAATTAAAGCTAATCAAATATTAAACTCGTAAAATAACGTATACGCCGTGTCAGACACGCTCGAAAGGCTGAGCGGGCTCCAAAGCACACATAAATTCAACAGCTGAAAGGCAAATTCATAAACATTTGCCAATTCAAATAAACATAAAGAGTTCAGCAGTCTTCCGACTTGGACTTGGTTGATGAATCGCTTATGCTTATTGACGCTGACGCCGCTGACGACGAAGCCATTCTAGTAGCGCTGCGGACGGTCGGAAATGGGCCGAGGCTGGTGCTGGGGTCGGGGCTGGGGCTGAGGGGGCCCAAACATGTGTTTCAGCTCATTTTACTAATAAGCAAGACCCGATGACAAATTGCCGCCCAAAGTATTCAATTCGATGTTGACATTTTATGAATACCTCCTCAGCCGGTATCTGAATCTCGTGTACTCGCACGAACTGGAAGGAAAGGCGCCTGTAGGACAAATGCGAAAATATCAGACCTCGATATGGGGGCAGCCAAGCGGCGTTCACACCTTGCGCTCGCGCTCGGCTTTGTGATTCCTGTCGTCTCCACGTTTTGGACGCCAGTTTCGACTTGCCGAAGGTCTTTGCTTTCTTTGCTGCTTGGAATGACATTGACAGCTGATTGACATATGAATCACGCTGTAAAAATATACAGAGACGCATCACACGCATGCGGCATGGCACAGCGCAGGTGGAGATGCTGCCACGTCGTGTCGTAACAGGATGTACTGTCATGTTTGGCGGCTGATGGTGTTTGTCGTATCGCCCGTCTGCCACCGCTGTGAGAGAAAGATAGAGAGAGAGAGAAAGAGTGAGAGAGGGGGGTAAAGGTAGAGACATGCTGGTCGAGATTTTTTGTTTTGTTATTTTTTACCAGTTTATACAATCTCATAAACTTTTGAAACTGCCAAACGATAATAAAATATTCATAAATTCGGTTAGCTAAAGTCCTCGACTACATATACCCTGTGCGCCTTATGCATAATAATCTGTATATAAATATAATAATATATAATAATTAGTTTAAAA